GCAGAGATGCCAGGGTCCCTCCCCCACAAGCCCCAGGTTCCCCATCCCACTCAGCCCCTTCCCCACCGCTGCCATGGAGTGGGTTCTGCCCCTGCCCAGGCTGCTGCCAGTGTTTGCTGCCTACTGCTGCTGCCGGGGGCAGGCATCATGGCCCTGGGGAAGGGCCCTAGCACAGGGCCCGGCTGGGGGGGCAGCAGTGGGGCTGGGAAAGGGGGAGCTCACCCTGTGTCTCCATCCCGCAAGGGACCCCTGCAGCCCTATCATCATCCCTGGAGGTCACTGCTTGGGCTGTGTGCAGGCACTGCGGCACCTGGGTGTTCTCTCACCCATCCCATGGCCCAGCTCCAACCCCTCCAGTCCCTGCACCACTTCTTGGGGTGACCCGGGCATCCTGCCCTGACCCTGAGGCCATGGCGTGGGGGCAAAGCACTTTACTGATGCTCTTGGCCACGGCAGCACTTCTGGCAGTTCCCAGCCCCGCAGCCTGCCTCACTAGAGAGCACCTGGCTGGGTGGCACTGCTGCTGCCCGAGCCCCCAGTTCGTGCCGGGGGGGCCTTGGTGCCTGACCCCTACTTGGCATGCGGGTCCAGGTGACGGTGGTGGTCACGAGGCCGTGTGCCATGCCGGAGCCGGCAGAGGTGGGAGGGCACCTTATTGCCCTTCCTCAGTGTGTGGGACCGCCAGGCTGCCGCGATGCTCTCCACCTGTGGAAATGTGGAGAAGGATGCCAGCATCAGCATGGTCCCCCTGCAAACCCAGCCTGGCAGCATCCTTCAGCCTCAGAGATGACCCGGGGCACCCCAAGAGGAAACAGCAGCTCACCGGGATGAGCAGATCCTGCTGGTTATGGCTCTCCAGCATCAGCAGCTCACTGGGTGCCAGCAAGGGCAGGCGTAGCTCCTGCACGGGCAGGGCGGCCACCTCAGACACTGGGCGCTCCAGGACAGCCTGCCAAACAGCTGGATATGAGGGATGGGGCTGGTGGTGTCCTGGGCATCAAGGGGTGTTTATGGGGGAGTGAAACAGCCTCTGTACCCACCACACAGCCCCAGGATCAGGGACAGGGCTCTTGGGTTCCCTGCCTGGGCTGGTGGGTGCCCAGGCGCCGCTGGGTGGCTCTGCCTGGCAGGGCCAGCGAGGACCAACCCCCCACCCCGCCCCATCAACACTGTGTTGCACTCACTGAGCTGACATGTGCCCACTCCCGCACAGCCTGCACCAGGTCCAGCTCGTCCATGGCTAGGCGGTCGCTGCGCAGCACCTGTGCCAGCACCACGTCGGAGAGCTCATGGAAGCCCTGTGTCTGCACCACTGCCTGCCAGCACATCACAGCACCAGGGCACTGGTACCAGGACCCCACAGTGCTCCCCCCACCACCACCATGGGCCATTGAACCTATGCTAGCACCATCCCTGCCTGGCACCCCGGCATCCCTCCATCCAGACCCCTGT